GTTGCACGCGACACTTAACGAAATCCTATTATCAAATAAATACGTATATGTATCTAAATTAGTGATTTCGATAAATAAAGTGTCAGAAAACACTTGAATTTGGTTGAGGAATGTTACTGAGACTTGCTTGGATCGAAGAAGTGGGTTTGCAGCCAAAAGTACTACCAAAAAGTTGTTTACGGATGTGAACAAGAGTTTACGGTTTCTGAAAACTTGGCGAGTTTACGGTTTCTGAAGACATGGCGAGTTTACGGCCGTAAACTCAAGAACAGAGTTTACGGTCTTTGAAGGCTGGACTGTAAACTCAAGAAGAATGATGTTTGGATGTTGATTTCGACGAGCTGAGTGTTTCCAGATGTTCCAAAGGGCTCCAAACATGATTTTCTCGATGTTTTCCGGAGTTTGAATGCATTTTGAGTGTTTACGGTCGAGATTCTTAGAGAGAGGAGGAGAGAGTGTGGCCATATACATCCAAATGAAGTCGGAGGCATCGTATTTATAGGGGTGACGTGAGGGGTCCACTCGTCAGGTTTACGGTCGTAAACTAGTTTACGATCGTATATGAGTTTACGGTCGTAAACACGTTTACGGTCGTAATCCCACTTCGACCAGAAATGTTTGATTTTTCCATATTTTCAGGTTTCCGCGTGATTTTTGGTTTCGATCCGTGAATAATTTAATTAAATATAACTAGATTATTTTAATAAACCAAAGAGTTTGACGGAAAAGTTAACAAATTTGAATTTTTATTAACAGAATCACATAACGGAAACGAGATAAGTTTCGGGTTGTAACATCAATCTATACTCTAATTTCATTTCATATACTCGATCTATATAAACTATAGTTCTTTAAAATTTTAGCAGGTAGAGTAGAAGGAACAAGCAAAGACTCGACAAAATGTTTTGATTGTAATTTTGGATGTGAATTGTCTTATTTTACCAAAACATATTATTATGCTAAGATAATTTTTTCAAACTGATGTCTAATTTTTTAATCATGTTTGTGTCTGTGTTTATAGTGGCCCTCCAAGACTTGAAGGAGATAGACCGAGATTCGTTGATACTTGATAAGTTTGGATACCATCGTGGTTCCACAGGGCCTTCCGGTAAATTTGGTGACGAGAAGGGTTCAGGCTTATTACCCGCTGCTTTTTTAAAAGGGTAATATTTGTTTGAAAAAATAGGTTTGTATATTGGTTCATGCGTTTTCATACTAATTTTATATGGTAGACATTTTCTATATTAGAAACTGAATATGGAGTTTGTTTGTTTTAAGTATAAAGATCAAGGTATTCCGGTTGTAACAATAAAAAGAAAAGAAAAAATATCTATGTATATGCTATTCCACTTTGCTTTCCACTTAGAGCAGAGACTTGATCTATTTCATATATGAATGTTGTGCATATATGCCTCTGTCATGTTAAATGAAAGGATTTAGAAAATGAAAAGATAAATTTGCCCTTGAAGATAGAGAATTGTGGTGAAAATTAGTTTTCTTTGTTCTTTTTGTTCATTCGGAATTTCGGATATGTTGTAGGAATGTAGATAATAATTTTTGAATGTTCCATGCGCTAGCTTAAAAGTAATTCTTATGCGAGTATGATATTTCTTAACAAAGTTTCTTCCTTATGCAACATTAACAAGTTATCAAGCCTAAAGTCAATTGGTTAAAGACTATCATTAGTACTCATGGTTTATCAATCCGGTTGTAAATCACTAATTAAATCTTTTCAGAGCTCATTTATATAAGGATTTTACTATAAATTTTAGGTCTTAGCATAGAATCGATATTTGGTTGTTTTCTAACTTACTTTGATACATGGAATAGAAAAAGAATTAACAATTATATTTTTGTTTCATCTTTCGTTTATTCCAAATAAACAACTATAATCTATTTGTTAAAGATCTAGAGTACCAAGACTAGAACTAAATAACCATGGTTTCAAGTTTCAAATTGTTACTTTTAGTAAGAATTTTGTAAAAAAATATTTCTTCATTTTAGGTAGAACCCTATTAGAATTATCCATAACCATTTCTTATCCCTTGTCATTACTTTGTTACTGATAGTGGTTACAAAAATTGATTGTAATCATTCAAGGTTTCAAACCTAAAGTATGATGCTATAACATGCAAAAAAAATAGAAGTTAAAATATCTAAACAAATAATGCAATGCTATTTGGATGACAATACAACAATAATAGATTTAAAGGATTTAATTGCCATTAGAAATTTCATAAAGTGAATGACTTATGTTTGGGGATGATTTCTGTTATGAATCTCAAATTAACCATCAGATTAAAGTAAAATCCCACATTTTATGAATATTTCTTAAACTAAACAACAATTTGCAACATGTACATAAATTGGCGGGTTAAATTTCAATTGGTAACATCAACTCATGTTGGAAATTTAGGAGGAATTCCAAACTTTATTTTGATGTTTCAAGGTACAACTCCTTTAAACGGTAGTAGTCAAAATAAGAATTTAAAATTAAAGAGCATCAAAGTGGATGAAATGGAAATTAGTTGATTTACCAGATCTCCAAATCACTATGATTTGTATAAATACAAGAAGACGAATCTTAAACATTAATATTTTAAAATTTTGACAATTATCCATAGTGTTAACATATTGTGGTACTGTGATTTGTATAAATATAAGAAGACGAATTTTAAACATTAATATTTTAAAATTTTGACAATTATCCAAAGTGTTAACATATTGTGGTAAGTTTTGAAAACTGACATTAAACTTATTAAATCATAGGAATTCAAGCAATTGTTTGCATTAATGTGCAAAAGTTAGTTCAAAGTCAAGTGGTTAAAGAAACGAATATTAGTGTATAAAGAATTTTATTTCTTAAGATAAAGGTTTTATTTTATTTTTGGTATATGATATTTTCTTTTATATATAAATGATTCTATTAACTTTAAGTTTGTACATTTTGTGTTTTTGATTTTGGAGACCATAATCCGCTTAAGATATTCATATATAATGTATTTTTTTTTAAAATATTTGATGTTCGGCAATTTTGAAGTGATGTGTGTTATTTATTTATTTTATTTTTTTGAACAACAAAAAGACACTATATCAATGTATGTTCTTTATAATATGAGTTGTTTCCACGATAATGATTTAGGAAGGTAATAAGGTTTCCAGCTTGTCCGTATTAGGTCACTAAAGTTTTTTTTGTGCGTATTAAACCAATATGGTTGTTATTACCGTTTAGAAATAGTCATTTTACCGGTTTTAACGGGTAAAAAGGACTATTTCTAAACGGTAATAACAACCATATTGGTTTTAATACGCACAAAAAAACCTTAGTGACCTAATACAGACAAACTGGAAACCTTATTACCCTCCTAAGTCATTAACCCTAATTATTTAGAAAACATGCTTACTAATCAATGTGAATGATTTGTTTGACTGAAAATAGTTGCTTCCATTTAAACTTATCTCACAACCCTTCCAGAACTTCTAAGTCCAAAAACTCATATGATTGATGATCTTCATTACATAAATATGCAACATTTTATCAACAACTTCTTTTTTGTCATTTAAATGTTTACATGAACACATCAATATGTACAAAAACAAAATCTCACTTTGATACCTCTCATCAATGTCTAAATTTGATAACGAATGGAAATGTAAAACCAACGGGGACTTGCATAGGATGTATATTATCAATTATTTTATAAAAAGCAAAACCACAACATGAACTAAGAAACTGAAGTTGCAAAATGAATAAAAAAATCAACACATAAACAAATACATACATACTATATACAACACATAAACGGAAGTTTATAAAGCTTGAAACTTAATGACAGGAAAATTAAAAAACTTAAAGGAGACTTTATAGAAAGAAAGATCACCCTTATTTGCCACAAATGGTTGAAGACATCAACAATAATATCAATCTGACCATAGAATCCACATGTTGTCTGATCATGACTTCAGTAGATGAACTACTGAAACGTAAGAGTTGCAATTGAACTCTATTAGCATTTGAAAAGGGAATTAGGGTTCCAAAGAAGGCGACGAAGGGTTAAAAAATATTTTGGACCATTTCTCGATTTGTGTGTGTCATCCTTGCGCAGGGGCCATGCTAATCTTCTCTGTATCCTTCCAATTTTATCGGATGTCCCCAAAGGGACGACTATAGATGAAGAGTTTCGCCATATAAAGGAGTAGCAGGTTATATGGGACGACACGAGTTCTAAACGAAATAGTTTACTGTTGATAGTCATATATTCTCAATGTCTTTAAAATTAGGGTTAATGACTTAGGAGGGTAATAAGGTTTTCAGATTGTCCATATTAGGTCACTAAGGTTTTTTTGTGCGTATTAGACCAATATAACTGTTATTACCGTTTAGAAATAGTCCGTTTAACCGTTAAAACCGGTAAAAGAACTATTTCTAAACGGTAATAACAACCATATTGGTCTAATACGCACAAAAAAACCTTAGTGATCTAATACGGACAAACTGAAAACCTTATTACCCTCCTAAGTCATTATCCCTTGTTTCCATTAGGAAACATCTGCTGAAAGAGAAGTAACCCCTACCATAAAACTATATCTACGTTTAAAAAGGTGTGTATGTATATGTATGTGGATGTATCTGTGCGAATATGTGATCTATAATTATCACATGCATTTTGTAGTAATGCAGTTCAATAAGATTTGAAAAAGTTTATTAAAAGAAAAATTAATGGGTAAATTAGAATTTGTTAGCTGTTATAAAGGTAATACACTAATAAGCCATGTCCTTTTGTTTTAATTAATACTAATAAGTAATGAGGCATGCCCTCTAAATTTCATATTTTTGTTCAACATACCAAAAAATCCCCTAGTCAATTAACCTTGGCAACCCTTTTTTGCCGAAAATTCAAAAATTTCATATCTTTTATATATATATATATATATATATATATATATATATATATATATATATATATATATATATATATATATATATATATATATATATACACACACGTATATACGAATGGATCCAATCATCCTGATTTATTAGTACTTCCCTTTCATTGAATAAACATACAACCTAGAAATATAGCATCTTGCATCAAATCATTCCGATTTATCAATACCTGCCTTTCATTGATGGAGATTTACGAAACATATCTTGAACACTCTTGAGTTTGCGCAAAGCCTCAATAATGGTGATTCGTCCTTCAGGGGTATCGTTAGCACAAGAAAGCGCAACCCCCATGACAGTTGAGAGGCAATGAAGTTTCATTTTCAGGTTCATGGAACGAGCATCCAGACATAACTCTTCTGAGCACAACTCTTCTGGATCTTGAATCAGGTCATGATCCACCACTTGATCTAAGTTCCCTGGGAAAGCCGACTGCACCCATGTCTTGAGGCTCAAACCACCCACAAAGCTCTCGTCTGTTGGTCTTTTCCCGCTAAATATCTCCATAACCATAATTCCGTAACTGTATACATCTCCTTTAGTAGATGGGTTTGCTCCCATACCATATTCTGCATGCGATGTATATACAAGTCAATGTAACGTACAATTATTCTTTCATGTATACAACCAAAGATAATAATATTAGTAGACTAATTAACCTGGAGGTATGTAACCCATTGAACCTTTAAGAACATGGCTAGAGCTAACAAGTTTATCTTTCTCAAGCAACATTCTAGCAAGCCCAAAATCACCGATTTTAGCAGTAAAATTTTCATCCAATAGAATGTTACTTGGCTTTAGATCACAATGCACCACTGGAGCTACCACACATTCATGGTGGAGATAGGTCAACCCGCATGCTACATCAATTGCCACATTTAATCTCTCCAGCAACCCCATTTCTTTCCCTATCCAACTTTCCAAACTCCGATTCTTCATGTATTCATACACCAGAGCACGAAATTCCTTGTTTTTGGGATCCAAACTGGAACAGGAAGTAATCAGTTTCACAAGATTCCTATGCCTGAGATGCCGAAGAACACCACATTCGGCTAAGAAGCTAGTCAATGAGCCAGTGGTTTCCATGTCAAGAACCTTCACAGCAATTTCCATGGATCTTCCTTTGAGATGGAGATACCCTTTGTAGACAGACCCAAAACTCCCACGACCAATCAGGTTTTCCTCATCGAAATTCCCAGTTGCAGAGCATAGCTGGTCATATGTCACGATTTGATGCTGGTCCTTGAAGGAATCAAGAGTCTCCATGATCGTAATTGCCTTGTGTTTCCGGAAGTAGAAAAACAATGCGATTGATATAATAAGTATTGCTATTACTGAAGATATTACCACGACTAAGATGACAACTACTTTGTTGGTGTCATCTCTTGTGCATTGGGAATCGCGACATAGCTTTGGGTTGCCTTCAAGATGAACTCTTGTGAGATTCGAGAATATCCCATCACTTGGAACCTTTCCTTCCAAGTTGTTAAAAGAAAGGTTTAATAGTTTTAGGACGTTTAAATTTTGAAGCTCAAGAGGGATTGAACCCGAGAGTTGATTCGAAGAGAGGTCGAGTGTTTCCAAACCTTTTAATTCCCCCAAACTATTTGGAATGTTTCCAGAGAGCGAATTTTTAGATATGATCAGCTGTTCCAAGCTCTTACAATTCTGGATCGACTTTGGAATGTCCCCCGATAAATTATTGTTGGAGAGATCAACTGTCACCACTCTTTCCAGGCTACCAATTTCTGGAGGCAATGAGCCTGTCAATGAGTTGCTGGAAAGATTGAGGATGATGCTTAAACTTGGGAGATTTAGAACTTCTCTGGGTATACTTCCATTCAGCTTATTCATAGAGAGATCCATTGAAATTAGCCTCTTCAAATTGGTAAAACTTTTGGGTATACTTCCACCCAATTCATTGCTTGACAAATCAATATGCGTCAACCTTCCAAGATTACCCAATGAATTCGGAATATTTGAAGTGAATCTATTTTTGGCTAGAAAAAGCTCTTGTAGGTTTTCCAACTGGCCTATTTCACGAGGGATTTTACCCGAAATGGAGTTGTAACTTAAATTCAGTAACGCTAGACCTTTCAGTTGACCAATTGAGGAGGGGATGCTTCCCGATATCCTGTTCGAACCCATGTACAAATTTCTAAGTGTTTTGGAAAGATTCCCTATGGACTCCGGAATAACACCATCAAAATGGTTTCCATCAATAGCTAGGAATTCAAGCTTTGTACTATTTACAAAAGAATTCAAGAACCCAAGACCCTCACCTTGTTCGCTAACAATATTATTGTGCCCAATATTGTACAACGTTAGCTCACGAAGGTTTCCTAGTCCAGGTGGCACTGTTCCATGCATTTGGGTATGCGCCATTCGGATGTTTCTTATATTCGTGAGGTTGTGTAGCGAACCAGGAATAGTACCTGTGAATCTATTGATGCAAAAGTTGAAATCAAGAAGATTTGGGAGTGTATCACCAATATTGTAAGGTATCTCTCCCCTTAAATCGTTAGAAGCTACAGCAAAAACTTCCAGCAAAGACATGTTGTAGAAGGATAGAGGAACTGTCCCTGTGAGCTTATTGATGGTGATGTCAAGAATCTTTAGGTTACGAAGACGAGACAAGTCAATAGGGATCGGGCCTGTAAGTGAATTGGTGCCCAAATTCAAAGTGGATAGTGAAGTAAGGTTGCCGATAGATGGTGGAATAAAGCCGGAAATCTGGTTTCTTGCCAAGTTCAAAATTCGAAGATTAATGAGGAGAGTGAGGCTTTCAGGAATCAAACCTGAAAGTCTGTTTCCCATGAAGTCGATAACCTTGAGGTTGATACAGTGACTTATGTTTGCTGGGATGGTGCCTTGGATGCGGTTGAAGCTGACGTTGAGGAGTTGGAGGTTAAAAAGATTAGTGATCGTTTCAGGAAGAATACCGTTAAATTGGTTGTTTTGAAGTTGAAGTGATCTGAGAAACGATAGGTTCCCGATATATGGGCTAACTGGACCAGTTATCCGAAGCATGGAGAGGTCAAGACCGATGACTCTTCCATTACGATCATCACACAACACTCCGGTCCAATTGCATGGAGATGGGCTTGCTGGATCCCATGTCGATAAAGCTTCTGGTGGTTGCGTAGTTGTTTGAGATTTGATGGTGATTAAAGCTTGTTTGTCAGTTTCAATACTTAAAGTGGCAGAAACTGCAAACTGATTTTGTATAGAAAAAGAACAGCAAACAAAGAAGATGGAAAGGTGTGTGAAAAAACTCATGATATTTTGCAGATGACAATAATTTTATTGGTGGGGAATTTATTAGCGGGTATTTATGAATACGGTTGACTGTCACATCTCTATTCATGCATTTCATTTTCCATTCTTTATGACATCTTGTCGGTTGTATGTGATCCTCCTAAGTCAAGTCTAAGTCTAAGTGATACTCCTAAGTTTAAGGCCGGAGGTAGTAGTAGCATGCTTAACATGCCACCACATCAGATTTTTGGAATTTTTTGAAACCAAATAAGATAAAGAAAATCGTAGCATGTATATTCAAGTTGTAAAATGGTAGGGAGTAATAGAATCGATATGCTGTCGTATTTTTAATAGCTTTTATTTTGAAAAAACTATAAAAAAGAAAGAGAAAAAAAATAGCCAATTACACTTTGACCTTCTCTCTCCTTTCTCTTCTCATTGTGGGTGTAAAGATACAGGCCAACGAGCTCCCTAGCATGAACTAGGAGGTGGTGTGTCGCCCTACGACCTCCTAGTGTGGCTTCCTAGTGAGCTACTCCTTGTGGCCTAACAACAGTTGGCGCAAGAAGAATAAGAGGCTATCGTGACGACACATATCCCGACAACAGAAGTCGTCGAAAAAGGTGAGCTCTGCAGACGACAAGTAGTCGTCAAAACGTTTGACTACTTTGACCAGAATAATGGGTGGTGTAGTTGAATCAGTTAAGATGGGAGTGCAGAGCGGAGTACTTATTCACTACCAATAAAACGACATTTAGTGGCACATAAAATATGCCACTAAAAACCTGTTGAAGCAAAATTGTAAAACTCGAATATTGTGTTTTGTATTGTTTCGCATTTTATATTATTTTACTAAGTCATATTTGTGCGAAGTGTAATGTTTAGACTTAGTATATTTTTTGTACACTCATGTTCCCTATAAATAGGGACTGAGGTTAGAAGTAGAGGACAACTTTTGTTAACGCAAAGATCCTTTCTGCTTATTCTGTAATCAGTCTTCATCAATATAAGATCTGATTAATATTTACTCTTCGTGTTCTAACTCTTAGATTACTCAAATCATACTTTGTTTTCTTAAATCTCGACAATAATTCTCTTCAATTGGTATCAGAGCAGGATTCAAACTGCATCGATCTGATTTTCGTGTTAGAATCATTTTCTTTTTGAGTTGCAACTTTACTCAAAATTTTCCGCGCATTTTGGTTTTGAAAATCTCATTTGATCTTCAGATTTGAATTGATTATGTCTTTGAATTGTATAGTCGAGTAATCGATCAGTGATTTGTGATCAATTTAATTGATCAAATTCTCAATTTCATCAAGTTTTTCAAGCTTTCTGAAAATTTTTGTGTTCATCAATGGCGAACTTCAACATGAATACAATGACTTCCTTCTTTCACTTGCTTGGTTCTTCAACCAAAATTCCGATGTTAATTCCAGAATACTATGATCTGTGGGCTGATAGAATGGAAGATTACTTAAATGGAATTGATGAAGAACTTTGGAATTGTATCGATGGAACAGTGCAAGCTCCTGTTAATGTTCAACCAATTGGTCAATCTGTTGCATCTATTGAAGTTGCTGATCAACAAAAAGGGTTGAAGAATAATGAAAAGAGGTGCATGAGGGAACTAAGAGGTGCTCTTCCTCCTGTGGTTTATAATTACATTCATAGTTGTAAAACAGCAAAGGATATCTGGAACACTCTAAAAGAGAAGTATCAAGGTAGTGAAAAGACGAAGATCAATTCTGTGAAGCAATGTCTAGTTGAACTGAAAGGATTCAGACAAAAGGATGATGAAACTCTTGAAAATTACTATGATCGTCTGAATGAGCTTATATTTCGCTGCAATAGGTATGGAATCACTAGGTCTCTCATGGAGTTCAATTTAACATTCATTACGGGTCTTCGTAAGGAATGGCGAAGTGTGAGCATGATGATTAAGAATCAGCAGATTTTTTATACAACTCATTTGAATGATCTCTACAATCAACTGAAAACACATGAATGTGAAGTTTTAGAAATGTATGAAGAATCAAAACAAAATATTGGAGGTCCTTTGGCTCTTGTTTCAAAGGTATCAGAAGCTGATGTTAATGAAAAAGATGGTTCAGATGATGAAGGATTTTTGATGAACTCTGATGATGAGGCTGTGGCATTCTATTCAAACAACAGAATTAAGAAGTTTTTCAAAAAGCCTTTTAGTCCCAAAGGAAATGCTAGTGATGCGAAGAGTGCAGTCACAAAAACTGGTGTGACAACCCCAAATATATTGTCGTTACAAACCGTATTTTCACTAACGGAATGCATCACTATATGTTATTTTCGGTAATGTTTGGAGTCGTCAATAAACAAGTATCTAGTTAATTATATGTTCCGATATTATCATGAGTAATTATAACTTGTAAATGTTAACCCCGATTAACTAAATAGAGTTATATTACTTTTCAACCACTTCACCCGGGTAAAAAGTTTTAACTCCGTTAAACTTTAGCATCGGGTAGCCGTGAATCGGGTGCAATACCCGAGACATATATAAACAAATGGATACTACAATTGAACTCTTTTACCACACCTTCACCTCTCTCTCACTACTTTCTCTCTCTAGACCCGAAATCGACCCCAAATCCGCGAATTCCGGCATCCAAACGTAAGGACGCATTCCCTATCTTAGTCTAAACATACTTCATTGTATTTAGAGGCCAAAATCATAGAAAACAAGGACCAAAAAGGAATTTACGGCCTAAGAAGCCCCTTAGGCCGTAAACACCTAAAAACTTGCCAAAAACCTCATTTTTCCTTCCTTTAAGCTTATGGACTAATTAAGACATATACCTAGGAGAGTTTGGTCATTAAAACACAAGGATTTGAAGCTTAAAAAGGAGTTTACGGCCCAAGCTTATGCTTAGGCCATAAACACCCCAAAAACCCTTGTTAAAAGCCCCAAAAAATCATCTAGGGTGTTTGGTAATTTAGTCTTGACACTAGGGAATGTTTATATTGATTAAACAACATCATTTGAGGAAAAAAAGAGGAGTTTACGGCCAAGGCTAAGCTTGGCCCGTAAACACCCAAATTTTTGTGTCAAACAAGTCCCAAAACTTATCTAATGCATGTAAGGAATTTAGCTAAGGCCCTTGGATGTGTGTTGTACCGTTAAACTTCCCATTTTGAGGCCAAAAGAAGAGTTTACCGCCAAGGATATTCTTGGGCCGTAAACTCCCCAATTTTCATGCCAAAATGTCCCAAAACTCCATCTAAGGCCTTCTAGAATTTATCTAAGGTGAATGGGAGTATGTTGTACCATTTAAACATCCATTTTGAGGGATTAAATGGAGTTTACGGCCCAAGGACAAGTCTTGGCCGTAAACTCCCCAAAATGTCACAAAATGAGGGTTTAATCCCTCCATGTTAGTCCAAGACACATACCATTAAATTAAGGAAGTGAAATAAGGCCTTAAACATGCATTTTGGAAGACCACATGAGTTTACGGCCAAGCCTAGGGGGCTTACGGCCGTAAACTCCCAAGGAGTGGCCTTTGGGCCATATACTCCAAGGGAGTGAGCTCATGGACCCTCCCGTAAATCCTTCTTAGCCTTAAACCACTCCTGGGAACCCTTCTAGGCCCTAAAACCCCGAATTGATGCTAAAATGCCTCAATACTTAAACGGAAAGCATAAAATGATTAATTTCTTGTAAAACACATATTTTCAGATGACATTAGGGTCCTAAAAGGTGTACAAGTCATTGTTTGGAACAAAACGCTCAACCGACACTTTTACCGGATTCACCCGATTTACGCGAATTCAGGTGAGTTCATACCCCTTTAATGAACCTTTCAAATGTTTTATATGTTTTAGGGGGGAGATACAAGTTGAATATACATGTTTATGAAAAGTTATACAAGACAATTTTTCATATTACAGAATTAATCACATGTGATTCACTACCTGTAGTTCAAATCACATGTGATTTATAACTATGCCTTATAAATCAATCATTTGTTTTCAAAACTATTTTGAATAGAAAAACAAGTTTTAAATGTCTCTTTTGTACAATACTTTTATTTAATAAATCGCCTTATGAAAATATAATCACACTGATATATTTATATAAGTAAGACTTGAAGGACTTAGGACCGATAACTCGCCTTATTTCCTGTTCTTGTTTGATTGTGGGCTTAATGTAGTGGTTATCCGTCCGACTGTCATTGATTTCTTAGTTATATATCTCGTATATTAGTACAGATTACGAGTACTTCTTATTTTATTAGATGCCTAAATTACTAACCTGACTAGAACCACATACGCTAAGTTAACTATAATAGGTATAGTTAAGGTCTCTATCTCTTGTTTTAACTACTACTCTACACTACTATAATTCTCTCTATTATGAAACTATACACTAATAATAGAATACAATACAAGTTATACAAAAGACTACTCCACTATAATACAAGAGAAAGTACAAATCATAAGATAACTCATTTACCCACTACGAGATACTCTATTCACTACACACTACGCCCGAAGTTTTCCGATGGGAAGATGACACTATATCTATAGATCTATACGGGGCAGACGCTATTACATCCCGACTGATAATTTCATTCCGAGCCGCACAGGTCCAGGGATGCCTTTACTCCACTACACTATACATGACCGGGAAGGTCATGGGGGTCCGCTACTACTCCTACTATTGGCAACATACAAGAAATACACTATAATCGTACTAAAACACTAAACAAATGATAAAGTTAATATCCCGAAGTAAATAAGAATCTAATACTAAAGGAAGCTGCACCACTATTATTTGCTTCAAGTATAACTTACCATACTGCTTTATTTACTGGTGAGTCACTATTATACTTCTACGATAAATGGTTTTCAAAGATGGAAATATCATAATTCTTAAAGGTTTTCACTTACTATACATTTATGGAAAATATAGGATTTTCTAGGTTTTACTACTACTTATGACTGTAAACTTCAGCTTTCATACTAACGATTCTAATGCTTTT